TGTATGTATGTATGTATGTATGTAGACTATTTCTGCGCTGAAGCAGTAATGCGTTACGGATAAAAGGATGGGGCAGCCGTTATACTGCAAAAATTTAAACCTTAGAACCCATGTCTGAAGATGGGTGGCGGCATTTATGTTGTTGATGTCTATGGACTCTGGTAACCACATCGTGTAATAAAATCAAACCCGTAAAATTATAATTTGCGTAATTACTGGTGGTAGGACCTTTTGTGAGTCCGAACGGGTAGGTAACACCACCCCGCCTATTTCTGCCGTGAAGCAGTAATGCGTTTCGGTAAAAGGGTGGGGCAGCCGTTGTACTGTACAGACTGTACTAAGACCTTAGACCTCGTATCTCAAGGTGGATGGCGGAATTTACGTTGTACATATCTATGAGCGCCGGTAACCACTTATCACCAGGTGGGCCGTGAACTCGTCCACCCATATAAGATTTTTTTTTTAAATCTACGTAATAAAAAATACTTTTTTAAATTCAAAACAAAATTAGGGAAGCCAATAAATACTTTTACGGTTTTAAAATCGCGTTTATCATCTAACTCATTATAGATTCTCTTATGATGAGGATCAAATCAAAAGTCAAATACACTCAAAGATGAATTTACATTGTACATATCTATGAGCGCCGGTAACCTCTTATAACCAGGTGGGTCGTGAACTCGTCCACCCATATAAGATTTTTTTTAAATCTACCTAACAAAAAATACTTTTTTAAATTCAAAACAAAATTAGGGAAGCCAATAAATACTTTTACGGTTTTAAAATCGCGTTTATTATCTAACTCATAATAGATTCTCTTATGATGAGAATCAAGTCAAAAGTCAAATACACTCAAAGATCTATAAATATACAATTATAAAATTCTAGTAAAGTCGAAAGTATAAAATTCTTTCTGCGTGTAGAGAAACGGAATTATCATTATTATTATTTTTATAAATACTACTCCGAGACCACGCAGAACCGTACAACATTCGAAATTTCGGAAACAGTACAATGAAATTAATAAGCCCGAAATTAAACCGTAAAACTAGTTTTATTAATGTCTACTACTACACACGCGCAAAACCGAAGAAAATACGACTTTACTAAATAAATTTTAATTTTTTTCTGATCGTATTCACAATGTCCACATATTAAATAATTGGAAGTTTTTATTGTTGTACTGGACCCAGTTTGGACTACAGAATGTGACTTCATCGAAAGCTTCAAGGTAAACAACTCGTGGAAATAGTAATCTATAATAAGTTATTTATTAGCATATATATATATTTTTACATATTCAAATGTTAACTCGATATCCGCAACGAAGGTATTTTTCCAGTGCTCGTTTCAATCAGCATAAACGCATCGAATAATACAGTAAAAGCCTTTTATTCGCGGAGTATATGTTGCGTAAATATGCCGTGAATACAGAAACCGTGAATATGGAATGATAATTTACATATAAGGGATTATGGAGGACACGTTCCTGGGTGACAATATAGAAAACATACTTTAGGCATACTTGTAATAACATTTAATTTTTTTAATAGTCTATTTGACGACGCCTTTACAAAGGATATTCGGTTGGATACCTGCATATTCGAATCCTTTTTATCAATGTGCATTTACAGATGTACCAATTAGAAGCGCGAATAAAGAAATTTTTAGCAGCTAATATATGAATTGGGTAGATTTTTTTTTTATCTTCTTCGTTTGGATGTTCTTAATTTAATTCGTAATAAAACGAAAAATAAGTTAATTTTGTTGTTTCAGTTCTGAAATAACACACAGGCTTTTTGATCACGTAGGTAAAGCTTATAAGCTTAAAAATTAAAAATTATCAATTCGCAACTTTATCTTTATATCGTTTTTATTTATTTGTTAAAAACCTACCAATAAGTTAAAGCTATTTCAAGAAAACTGTTAACACCCCATTTTTATTCTTTTTTTTTTACCCATTACATTTTCAATCAATACAATGGTTATTTTGTCGGTTTTCACGTGTCATACACATGATTAAGACTATTTTAAAGGTTTAATCTGGCGTTTATAATTCCCACTTTATCATCTCAGACGGTTTTCTTTTCAATTTCAGTTTTCGTGGCCACGGACGATTCAGGTCAGTCGTATTAATTATAATACAATAGGTGTCAACAGTCGGCTCTCTAAGCAGCCGGAAATGCTGACGATTTATCAATTGACTATTGTCGCAGATTACGAGCGCTTTATACAAAGAATCAAAAAGGAAATTGCATTCAAATGAAAACAGGAAATGGTGAAGAAAATTTTAACCTTTAAATATAACACATTTCGTTAACGTTGTCTGTGAGAATTTAGAAACAGGCTTCGCAACACTTTAATACATACTTCTTTTTTTTTACTATTGAAAGATTACTGGTGGCCCGGAGGCCTTTCCAGTTTCACCAGGACTGGTGGGTAAACAAAGGGTCAGCCAGAACTGGTGAGATTTGTTAACAGCTGCCCGAGCGCCTCCGAAGGAGACCTAACAACTCAAGAGCAGCTGCTTCGCGAATGAATCTACTACCGGATCGGAATCGCGACCCGCTGAGAAGATCGGGGAAAAAATCAACGACCCGATTAGGTTGCATGTCGAACTCTTTGTCGAGTTCGACGAGTACGGTTACCGGGGTCCCTAAGCCTGCTCCTAGTGTTAGAGCTCAAGGAGTCTAATGCAAAGATTATTTATTAGATCTGATGGATCCGTAAGAATTAAAACTTCTACGTACGAGACCTTTAACTGGCTCAAAGTATTCAGTTACATTACAATGACTACACTGGCTATTTAAATTGTCTGGTCTTTCGCAATAAAATATAAATTTGCCCAAGAGTTCGGTCCATAGTTAGAAACTAGTAAATATGTACATACTACATACATACATTAAATTATTGTTTATAATTCATTTCCAAGACACTCTTATCTATCCTGCTAAATTAAACTAACAAATTAATTTCTTAGTATTTCATCCATTTTGAAAGACGATCAAGTAATAACAAAATAAATTATTAAGTCATTGATTTTCATACACGAAACCTGCTGTTCAAGCATACTTCGGTCAATGTTTACAAGATTTCAAAAAAAGATGTTTACAGAAAAAAGTTAATGAATTTTACACAACAAAATTTTACATAAAAACACCGACTCTGATTCAGTTTTAACCAACGTTTTTTTTTCTCTTTTTATTGGACCTTCACGTATCGATTAAATATGCATTAAATAAGTACAATAAATTAATATTAACATTAACTATTCACTATGATGACATTTCGCAACCTTACTTATTTTAATAGACAACAATTTCTTCAAATTATTAACGATATTCAATATGACAAAAACATTAAAAATGTTGTTGTTAACAACGTTTTTAATTTCATTTCGTTGAGCAGACGACCCGACCATTGGTTCACAGGTCACCTGAACCCACAGATAACGAGAATACTAATGCCAACCTTGAGCCATTGCTTTAAAGTTTACATTGCATTAGCCTTTCAAATCGGAACGCATAGATGAGGACAACAGACCGATGACTGCAATATAGTAGCAGTATCGTGATTAATAAATAAACCAGACAGATCAAACTATATCTTAATCCAGTCCGTGAGTAGCTGGAATGGCTACCAGCGATTAGGTACGGGAAAAAAATCTTAATGAAGAGCATCTCGTGCTAAGTGGTTGTCGGAGCCCATAGACAATAAGAACGTAAATGCCGCCACCCACCTTGAGACATGAATTCTAAAGTCTCATGTTTAAAGTACAGCGGCTATACCACCCTTCAAACCGAAACGCTTTACTGCTTCACGGCAGAAATAGGCAAGATGGTGGTACCTGCCCGTGCGTGCTCACAAAACGTCGCATCACCAATGCAAGTTACCAAACTTTACGTCTTAAAGACCACTTTAAACACAGAACGGTATTAAAAATATTATTAATCACTGATTAAATTCGAAGTACCTCAAATTATTTCGAGAAAAAACATGACCTTATGCTACAATATGACGTTTATATTCGCCATCAAATACGCAGGTTCAAACAAACAATGCGTACGTACCATTTGTTGAAAAAATAAAGCAATTTGTAATTCAGATTGCATTCATACATAATAATTATTATAATAGGTACTTGTGAAGGGTCGATGAATTTGGTGCCGAGTCTGACGCAGAGGCATTCAAATATGAATCTTTCTAGAAAACGCTTTTTGGTTGCGTCGACAACCCTTATATGAATCTTTCTAGAAAACGATTTTCGTTGCGTCGATAAACCTTTTTTTTTTTATTGCCTTTGTAGGCAGACGGGCATACGGCCCACCTGATGGTGAGTAGTTACCGTCGCCCATGAACTTCAACAATGCCAGGGGCAGAGCCAAGCCGCTGCCTACCTTATTTGTATTCCAGTTATTATGTAAATAGCACAGATTTACTGAAAAGTATTTTCGAATTAAAATTTAGAAAACGTCAAACTTTAACATTTCACGCACAAACACAGTCGTTAAAAATATATTTATTTTAATTTTCGAACTTTATACAGGTGCATCTGATTTGAATAGTAGAATATTCTATGTGCTTCACATGCACTATACATGTTGTTCTATTGGCGACAGCTAACAATCACTATGAACTCTACAAACATTAATTTTTTTTTGACTAACAAACGAGCAGTGCAATTCTAGATCAAAGGATTCAGCATCACATTCGTGCCACTAAACTATGCACGGGATGAATACGACTCCGCTCTGAACATTTCACTTACGCGGAAAATAATTGTTATTGGTAATCAAATCATAATTCACGTTTTCAGAACGTTTGTGATAAGATTAGACTTGATTAAAGCCATTTGTGAAAGCCATTGGCCAAATCTCGTATTGCTTAGAGGCGCGTAGCAATCGTGATGATACACGAAGCGGTAATGGGTTCAATTGATTTAAGTACAGGGAATATCGCGAGTAGTATTCATCCGTTGTGTGACCGCCAGAGGGCCGTACCTCCTGCTGGGGTTCCTCGCCGAGCGAGTCGCCCAGTGCCTCGGCCTGGCTCTTCATTATAGAATATATTTTCACGTATGGCGCCTTCAGGAGCTACACGCAACCGCATATATTAGTACGTATCACAGTTATGTGTCTCGTGTCAACTTCGCGATCAAAATAAGAATGAGATGGTCAATGACCTTTAGCTGTCAAATGACATGTCACAAAAGATGATCTATTTTTTTTTTTTGAGATAAAAACATGAAAACTACGATTATTTTTTAAATAGTTTAAAATAACGTAATTTTTTGTCGTATTTCTATTTTACTAAAATGATTTACTCATTTTTATTTTGGTCGTCTTAATTATGTATGTCGTATGCATTGTTTTTACGATCGAAAGTATTCTTTGTAAAATAAATTAGTTTATTTATTATGTGGCGCTGTATGTGACACACAAATCGGGAATTTAATGAACCTTATTAGCGTGTGTACGATGCTTCCGAGAACTGTTTTGAAAACACTGTCCCCAATATTTGGAGTGGATTAAACGAGGACAAATTAACTACACGTCAAAACGCCTCTGGAATGCTATTTAATATTATAACTATATAATAATGTTTACAACGTTATAGCTTTAACGTAACGAAGACGAGCAAGAGAGAAAAAAACAACCATTCAAATGTGCCTTATTCGATGTAAAATGTCCAATGTGTACCGTAATGTGGAATGTGAGTTGCGAAATCGTCAGTAAGTGTGAAAGCGTTGTTAGATCGTACATATAATCATTTGTAAATTATTCGAATAGCTAATTATAATAACTAAAATGGAGTTGGACAGGACGTAAGCTACGTTGCAGAAAAATAAATAAGTGGAGTAAACGAGTAACTTTATGATATTTTGTCCGAAAACAAGATGGAGTGACGATATACGTCTAACCCTAGGACCATACTGGACCCGAGTTGCAGAGGACCAAGCTCAATGGAGAGAGCTGGAGGAGGCCAATTTTTTTTTATTGCCCCTGTAGGCAGACGAGCACACGGCCCACCTGATGGTGAGTGGCTACCGTCGCCCATGGATTTCAGCAATGCCAGGGACAGAGCCAAGCCGCTGCCTAGCGCACGCCTAGGCAACGAGGCACGCGAAATATATTATAAAAAATAAAATGTATAAACACAAAAAATGTTAAATTGCATCATGCATGCAGTTCGGAATTAAAGGGCTTCATTATTATTATTATAATTATAATAATTCTTACCTCCCATGACTCGCGCGTGATGTCAGACACGTCGTCGTTGCTGCTGGCGCGATCGTCCTGCGACGAGTAATCTCAGTTCAAACATTGCGTAAATTAATTACGTAGCTATTAGTTAAAATTTAATAATTATCTCCGCGTAAATCAAGTCAACGCGAAACTCTTATCTTTTAGAGTAGGCAACTGTATATAAACAGGTAAAGGAACAAAACGGTAATATTTTCTTCTCTGTTTTTCAAACGATTTTCTTTTTTTTTGTGTGTGGTACAAGGTGGGTGTGATACAAGCTGTGGTATTGTTAATTAAAATTAATTAAAAATTGTTTTTTGTTTTTCAAATGTGAATGAGAGAGAGGGTAAGAGTATGCTTTACTGTAGTATACCAAAACAAATAAAAATGCAGAAAATTAAATACAAAAAAGTAAAAAGGCCAGTCTTATCGCTAAGAACGATCTCTGTCAGATATCAATTACAAACGAAGAGACAAAGTGTAATACGTAAGGCGAATATCAATCTTGAAATTTCAGTGTTTCCGATCCGGTGGTAGGTTCTGCGAAGCACTGCTCTTGCTAGGACCAGTGTTAGAAACACCCCCGGTTTGAGCCCTGTGAGTTCATCTACACGTCAAGAAAGGCTGAAATAGCCTCTTATGGCTGTCAGCATAGGTAGAAAAAAAAAGATGACGGTAATGAACATGTAAAGCCGTGTCTGTGTTTGTACATTTGATTAATATTGAAATTCGAAACATTATTTAACTCGACGGATGAAAATAATTTTATTCGCAAAAAATTTAATATGTCGTTAGGCATTAGTGACGTCACTTGTTATGTATCCAAATCAGGATCAGTATAAAATATGAACTGTAGATCGAGTACAGTATATACAAACATATTATGTCCAGTTAAATCTACATTACTTTATATTAAGTGAGCAATCGTGGGGACACGAGATAACACCATCGATCTGACCCGGAACCTCTTGGTTGGGACATACCACTGCGCGATAATTGTCCCGAAATCATACAGCTTTTTTTAAAATGTCAAAACTGTTTACTTCACAGCGTTATCGCGACGATAACTTCACGACTCTTTACGCGGTCGTAAATTACTTGGGTGATTGTACGAGTTCGGACTGGATAAATCTTTTATTAGTGGCTATAAACATTTTTTTTAATTTATACAACAATGTGTACATTTTTAATACGTACAAAAACTCATATAAACAAAGACCGTAATCATTCTGGTATACAATAATAAAACGTTGATTGTGAATTGGGCTAGCAAAACAATCAGCTTTTTCGGTCGAGATATTTATGTTTAAGCCCGCCTTCCGTATATCTTTTGTATTCAGCCTATTTCCAAAAGATAACAAGTGACGTCACTGACGTAAAAGTTCAATCGTCAACTTATCAATCAAGTCTACGAACTCTAAGACGGTTTCGGGACCTTGTCATTGTGGTTGAGGACTTATGAAACAGCCATCAAGCAAGCATATACATACATTTTACCTTCATTAGTTTTGTAAATAAACGGGATTTGTTCTTTTTTTATAATAAATTTTTACTGGCTTGGAAACAAAGTACTTTAAGCCTAATCAGTTTTCCTGTTTCTTAATCACTTCATTTCACAATAATTATATTGAAGTGACTGTGTTTTTAATGAATTTGTATAAAGGTACGAAGCACTTTGGGCTGTTTAATAGTTTGTCCATTGTCCAAGCGGCGGTAGACATTATTAGATAAAATATCGCACATATCACTCGCGAAAACTAAACGATGCATATTGAATACGGAACACTTAAACAACAAATGGCTTATATCACAAATGTCATTCCAGTTGCAGTAAATATGTACATCTGACATTTCCTGTATTATTCAATCTTGTTAAGAATGGACTTTGTTTTTTTTTTTATTTTTTTTTTTATGACTTGGTGACAGAGACCTTTATTTAGGTCATATCTTATTTGGAAAATGTTCATTACTTTGGGGTCACTACACTTCACTTCACTAAATTTTGTGATTTAAAATGGAATTTGTCGTTTTGCTACGGCACAGACTATATCAAATTAGTTTAATTAATTTATTTACCTTATTGCCAGGCTTGGGGTCGTCGTCGTCCCACTCGGTGTCGCTATCGATGAGCTCGTAGCCCTGAGCGGTGACGTCACCGAGGGGCCCGTACCGGTCCGGTACCCAGTGAGTTAGGAACTTGAATAGGTCGTCGACGCTGTTAAACAAACACTTCGACGTCTATCAATTTTCCAGATTTTTCTGTACTGGGAGAGCGATTTGAGAGCTGCACAAGTAGACTAGACCCTGGATATTTGCGTAGCAGTGATGCGTTAGGTTTAAAGAGTTTTAGAGACGGTTTTTAAATTGACTTCGTAATCATTTCACAGCACTATGTAACTATACTTGATACCATAGAACTTATATCTCAAGGTGGGTGGCGCATTTATGTTGTAGATGTCTATGGGCTCCAGTAACCACTTAACACCAGGTGGGCTGTGAGCTCGTTCACCCAACTAAGCAATAAAAAAAAATAAAAAACACGTTCGTACTAAGACGCGTGCCTTAAACATATATACATGATTTTAAACTGGCGCTGTGTGACGTCACCGTCCATCTTCTTGCCTATTTCTATCGCAAAGCAATCACAGCTTGTAATTTAAGGAGAAAGATTCTTCTAATCAAATTCGACCCTCCAGCCTCCCAACTGTTACAGTGGACGGTGGCAGTCACGTGGTCTGTAGATATATTTGTTCCGGCAAAGTGTCTATCCATTGCCAATTTGTAATTTAAGGAGAAAGATTGTTCTAATCAAATTCGACCCTCCAGCCTCCAACTGTTGCGGTGGAAGGTGGCAGTCTCGTGGTCTGTGGATCTATTTGTTAAGGTAATGTGTCTGTCAACTTTCAATAGAACTATATAAAGAGTAGAGTTGACTAGCAAGCCCGAATCAGGATGAACGCGATTTGTAAAAACAAGAGAAAAATTATTGTAATATTAAAGATATCGATAATTTTAACAGACTTAAGTCGATTGGGTTCATTGAAGTTCAGTTTATTATGAAGGACATGTCTAGAAACGATGATTCTTGTTTGTACAATTTGTAAACAATTAACAATTGTGATAGCTTTATTAAAAAGTCACAAAGTGGCACTTGAACTTGAACGGTCTAATCAGTAAACTTAACTACATATTGTGTTTTATTTATTATAGATACTTGATCATTTTATTCTTCGAAATATTGTATCATCATATTGTAGTTTGTAGTTAAAAGCCGTGCGTGTAATTAACCAATGCTAGTAAATTTAAATTAATGAATGAATTTAATTAAAAATAAAAACATTCTAATAGTCTACACGGGCTCTCATTTTTTATTCATTGCTTAGACGGGTGGGCGAGCTCACAGCCACCTGGAGTTAAGTGGTTACTGGAGCCCATAGACATCTACAACGGAAATGCGCCACCCACCTTGAGATATGAGTTCTAAGGGGCCATTCATAAATTACGTCACACGAATTTTAGGACTTTTGAACCCCTCCCCCCGTCCTTGTCACAGGCTGTCGCATTTTTATGACCGGGGGCCTGATGTGACGTCACACATTTTTTCAATTTAGGCCTGTAAGTTAAATTATAAGTTAAATGACTTTGCATGAGAGATAATCTCATAGCGAGAATGCTAAATTATTAAGTTCGTAGATTTTTAAAGTTTTTTATTCCCGTCTAAACTTCGCGTTTTAATATTTTCAATTATAACATGTGACGTCACAAAACTATTTACCCCCCATGCGCCTTGTCACACTATGTCACATTTCGGTGATACCCCTCCTCCCCATCAACGTGTGACGTAATTTATGGATGACCCCTAAGGTCTCAGTATAGTTACAACGGCTGCCCCACCCTTCAAACCGAAACGCATTACTGCAAAACGTATCTACTCGTGCGGACTCACAAGTGGTCCTACCACCAGTAATTACGTAAATTATAATTTTGCGTTTTTATTACACGATGTTATTCCTTCACCGTGGAAGTCAACCTGCGGGATTCGAACACCGGTGCATCGCTAGATACGAATGCACCGGACGTTTTATCCTTTAGGCCACGACGACTTCAAAAGCATTTAAGCCAGTAACCAAGAATCGATTAGAATATTGGTTTAAATAATAAGCGAAACTTACCGATTGCGTGGGATTCCGAACCAGTATTCCGGCTTCATCCGTTTCCGTCCGTACGACATGAGCGGCGTGGTGCGCGGCAGCGGGCGGCCGGCCGGCTTGCCCATGCGGAGCCGCAGGTACAGCGGGGGATCGTCGCTGGGACGCGCCGGTCTGGGTATTAGCTCTATACGCAAAACAATCGCAAACTTTACTTACTGGTGGTAGGATCTTTTGTGGGACCGCGCGGGTGGGTACTACCACCCTGCCTATTTCTGCCGTGAAGCAGTAATGCGTTTCGGTTTGAAAGGTGGGGCAGCCGTTGTAACTATATTTGAGACCTTAGAACTTTTATCTCAAGGTGGGTGGCGCATTTGCGTGATGTCTATGGGCTCCAGTAACCACTAAACACCAGGTGGACTGTGAGCTCGTCCACCCATATAAGCAATAAAAAAAACACTTTACTATTAAACAACCGTAGCCTAATCTTTTTTGACGTGATTCTTCTTCCTAGTCGTACACTCTTGACAGAGTGGTCGTGGTCATGCATCAGTCGGATCCTGCGATACCGATATCGCTATGCGACGCCATGAGGCATGGTGTTTCGCAGAGTGAGAGCAATTATTTATGTTGGAGTGAGTCACAGATTATATGAGGTCGGTTCATCGTGTTGGAGATCGTCCACGAGATCTTTTGTCCTCGACTTTCCCTTGCACCACCAACCGTTCGATGGAGTCCTCATTACGATGTGTCCGAAGATTTTTAGCTCTAATAATAGGCTCAATAGTTTTGACGTGATAATGTCGTATACGATGTAAATCGATGAACAAAGCACGCACGAAAAAATGATCAAATGTTCATTTGCTCACAGGAACGAATAAGAAAAGGTGGTCGACTTTCAAAAAAAAATATCATTTTTATATAATGTTTCCATGATGAAAAAAATACATATATTTTCTTTACTATTACATTACGTAAGTTGGTTCGCTAACGGGATTAACCCGTCCAAAATTGAAGTCACGGTCATTTCGTTTAGCGACTACATAATAACAATTAAATCAATAAGTAATGAAGTTTATGGAATGATATTTATAGCTTCGTCCTAAAACGGTTTCGTTATTGTGTTCGTGCTAACTTTATAAGTCAAATTTCCTTTTATGATTATCAATCAAAGTACATTTTGTTACTTTTTTTGTTAGACAGGAAAAACACAGTTTTGTTCAGAGATTACGAAAGGATAATCAGTACGTTTTCATGTTACAGATGATTGTTTAAATTAAAAAAAACCTTTTACGGTTTAATCTCAACATTTCGGATTGTCTACAATTTTTTACATTCGAACATACGAAACCGGAGAGATAATATAATGACAACAAAAACGCGATATTATTCCGTAAGAATAGCTTTAATTGTGTCTATTCGCGAAATCCAAAGACATTACTATAAAATTCTCATTTAGCTTGTAACCCACAATTTAAATGCAATCGTCATTCATGTCGTTGGTGAAACTAGCAAATTGCTGACAACCCTGCAACGGTCACCTTTCGAAATCCAGTCTCTTTCTTTTTAGAATAAATTTGCTGGGTGATTTTGTTATTGCCTTAATAAGCAGACAAGCTTACGGCTCACCTGATGTTGAACGGTCACAGCGGAGCTCCTATCTACTATTTCACTTCCACGTCATTTCCGGTTACCCAATAATGTTTCTACAAATAGTGGCTTAAAAAGTCTAAGTGTGGTTAGCGACAATGACGTTGTGGCCTAACAACGCACTCTGACGTCAGTATTTCTATACTAGACATCAACACGAGTACATGTATATGTGCATAATCGTTATGCATTTTTTTATTGCCTTAAACCAGCCTTTCTCAAAGTGAGCGATAATGTCCCCTGGTGGGCGCTGCAGGCCTAAAGAGGGGCGGTAAGAGATCCAGAAAAAAAATGGGGGCGTTGTGTAGAGGCTTTGGTGGCGATTTGTAATTTCATCTTGTTGGACTCTTAAGACACCGACCGAGCTCTCGTTATAGCGGTTTTTAAATAGGTGAAAAAACGGGGACGCTACAAAATAATTTATTCTCAAAGTGGGCAGTAGACGAAAAAAGTTTGGGAGCCCCTGCCTTAGACAGACGAGCCTAAGGCCAACCTGTTGACCAACGCTCATGAACGTCACAAATTTCAGGGACATACAGTTAAGTCACCGCCTACCGCTATTGTATTCATACGTATCATATAATTTTGCATCATTAAGGACTATTATGGGCTATAATTATTACGTACTGTCGAATGAGGCGAAAAGGTCAGGCATGTCATCCACGGAGACCATGCTGCGATAGTCGAGGCGCGGCTGCATCGAGCTCGTTGAGGTCTTGGCTTGAGAACGCCCAAACCCACCCAACGAACTGCGCCTGTGCACACCAAACATAACATTACATACTTCTAAAACAGTATATCGAAATCAAAATTGTTGTTCTTGATTTAATAATAAAAAAGATTAATCAATCGCAAATATGTTTAATAAAACATAGTCTGAGGTTATAATTTTTTTTTTTTAATTAATTTAAAAAAAAACATTACGTCACATGTGGTTAATCGTTGTATCGTATGTTAATCGTATGTGAACCACGGTTAAGTTATCATTTATTTTGATTTAGTTTAGTTGGTAATTAAGGTTTAAAAAGCTTGCATTGAAACATTAAAAAAAATCGGCTCCCTATTCTATTTACATTTGTATGTTAATTGGCACGTTTGTAATATGACCCTTATTGCTTTTAGAATATAAAGTTAATTCGAACAAAGGAAGCCCATGTGTCTTTCAAAAATCTATCAAAATGCTTCGAGGGTAACCATACCATTAATGGAGAAACTATAGGAAACCAAATTCTTTCTAAATTTTATAGAACTTGAGATAAACTAATTTTTATAACATTTTTACTGCTTAATATGAAGCTCAAAATAACAAAATAACAGATTTTATATATAGTTGTCCTAAAAATACTCTTTATTTGTCCGGCTTTAAAAGACAATTTCATAACAATAGTAATTGCGTCAGAACCTGTGAATAAGACAACATCAATTATTTTGATTTTGAAGCCATTTGACGTACATACATATACGTTAACATGCTAAACATAATTAGAATACAAAGGTGCTAACAACACGAATGATGTGATATGGGTTGGTACGATTGAATTTAGATTAAAACTGATGATAGTTCATCATACGAAAAAAGATAAAATTACAAAAAAAAATATAGAATTTCTTTTACCATGAGCAATGAAAGCTAAGTTCCTAACACGTATACAGCATGCCACTGAAAACGGATGCTTATAAATGATTTTCGAAAATATTCCTATGGGTTTGTAATGGGGTTGGCGTATTTGATTGCAGAAACCGGAAAAGTTATAAATGATTTATGAACAATTAAGAATTTTATTAAAATAATTAAAATTCAAAAATTACTGCGTTTATTATTTCGAAATAGAGCCAATTAGATTTAATTATTTTCAGGGAAAATATGGGAAATCATTTCGATGATACATTCGATGAAAAAAAATCGTCAAATTGTCAAATACTTTTCGTGCATATAATGAGAGAACTGAAGCGAAGCTAACCGGTTAATTAGCAACATACTTAATAAAATGCGTTAAAACAGGTTTCAAGTTTATTATTACGATGTTTTTTTTAACTAATCGAAAAAAGCACAAATTATGTTTCATCTTTGGGTTTGTGCAGATATGAAATTGCTACAGTTCGCTTGTTTCGCGATATTATGAATGGGGGTTTACATTAAAATTGCCAACTCTATTCAGATAATTTTCGGCACCATGTTTCGACAATCATTTCATAATGGTTTTGATAATCGAGCATGTAAAGCTAAACGAATTTTGGTATAATGCCAATTACACTATTACAAAACTCACACTAGTATACATACACAGGTAACAACAAGATTTGAACAATTGTATTTAAAAGTGAAAACAATAACACAGAAACAACAAGACAATAGAAGATCAAAACCAGAACGACATTACATTACGACTTTGTTTTTTTAACCGATTTCAAATAACAAACTAGGAAGTGTTAAATTCAGGGCGTTTCTTATTTTTAAATTATATTAAATTGATAAGATAAGGGCGCTACTAAAATTCATCGGACGGGTTCAATAAAGATCGTTTTTATGTATAGTTTGATAGATAATTATAATTGAATGTAGGAAGCCGATGACGTCACGTGATGTCGTTCGGGGGCACGTTGCATTTCTGGCACATAGAAGTTTGTCAGCGGAACGTGACGTCACGTACCCCGGCGTCGCGAACACGTCGTGGGGCGCCTCCTCGGACGGGGTCTTATTCAGGAACAAACCAGTGCCGAACTCGACTAAGTTCATTGGGGAGCTACGCGCAATGAACAGAGCGGAGTCGCGCGTTATAACGTCCCCGGTTAGCATCCACGGATAGCAGAGGAAAACCATCACAGACATTAGTTACACACGACGCGTGCCTATGTGTTCGTGTGCGTGTGTGTTGTAGCGACATGTCGTTGTGTGCTATCTGCGTTCGTCAGTACAAATACAATTTTGGGGAGGAAGTATTGTTGTGTGAGTATCTGTTCATATATAAAACGGAATGTGCGGACGTAAACTGTACAAGCGTATATGTTTGTAAAATTTAGAAAAAAAAACCAAAAAAAAAACCAAGATATGAAATTCGGTCATGTTCGCGAGTATCAATGAAATTTTAATACAATCAGCACGTTTTTGGTTTTACAAAATCATTAAAACTTAATAATCAACATAGAATCGCAATATTAATTTTAGTAAAATTCCATCATGAATGTCATATCTTTTGTTTTGTAATACGGTTAATCAAAGAGCTGGTTACCTGTTGAATACTTTGGAAAAGACGCTTGTTGAGTTGTGACTGTCGGCCGAAGTGGGTAGAGAGTCACTTTGCGAGCCCTGCGTGCCGGACGCCACCTCGCCAGTCAGGCCCTCCACCCACGACAGAGGGTAAGAGAGCCTCTTCAGCATCTACATTAGGAAATAATTTGTTAACAAACTGATCACCGTGTTTTTAGGAACAAATAAAAAACAAAAAAAAATCCCGCATGTATATAACTAGTGGTCCCTCGATAGTCGAAATTCGACTATGATTTAATTGGAATTATAAGTTTGAACATTATTATAGTTATATTGTCAAAGATTATTGATACTTCTGTCACAGATTTCGCCGAGACTACACTTTAGACAAATATTAATAAAGACAAACAATATTTAATCTATTCTTAATTTGACCACATACTTCACGCAATACGAAAAGTTTGACTTAAATAATAAATTCAATAGTATGCATGCGAGTGTGTGTCAAATACATGGTGGTGTGTGTAATGTTTTTTTATATAGAATTAATGTATTTTTTATGCATAATTTAAATAAATATTCTGCAATCCTACTCTATATTCTCTATAAGTGTGATAAATTTCATATTCCTCCGTCCGCGCAATTTTCGTGTAAAAAGGGGTACAAAAAAGGGGGTTCTACGGTCTCAGTACAGTTACAACGGCCGCCACACCCTTCAAACCGAAACGCATTACTGCTTCACGGCAGAAATAGGCAAGGAGGTGGTACCCACCCGCGCGGCCTCATAAGAGGTCCTACCATCAGTAAAAGTCAAATCACCTCACCTTATTCTTTTTATCAGGTTTAGCGGCGTCGTCCTTCTGCTGTTGTCCATCAAGCGAGAAAGAAACGGTAGACTTCCGCGGCGCCCTCTCGTTCTCCCCGAGCGGCGGCGCCGATAATGGCGGCTCGGCGCGCGACACGCACACCGGCGGCACCCAGTCCGCAGACAGCACGATATCCGCATCGCTGTACACCTAAAACGGATTGCCTTCTATTTAATACATTCTCACTCTTAAATTCACTTTGAACTAGGTACACTTTCCATTATTATTTTCTTTTCGTTTTACACATCACCATTCCAAAATAAAACAAAAATATTGCATTGGTAAAAATAAACAGCCTAATTTTAGCCTAACAGTTTAATTAACACTGTATTTAATATTAGATTTAGTTGATCATTTAGATGCTCTTGAATTGGAAATTTTGCTAATTAGTTAACGCTAAAAATCCGCAAATATCATCATATAAATATTTACTTAGACCATAAATCAACAAATATTCAAGCAATAGAAAACCGAACTAAAATTTTATTTAACCTTTCTTTTTTATCTTGTCGATATAGGTCAGAACATTAGAGCGAGGTTATAAAATTATTGTATTGTCATCGAACAATGGTGCGTGTCCAAATTTTTTGGTTTATCGGACTACTTGAAATTGGTGAAAAATATATTCGAAGATTCGGTCACATACAAACAAACCAAGCTAATAAAAGGTATTAGTAAAGGTAATAAAAGGTATGCCTGTCATTATTCTCAACAAAATAGCTATGTGCAGTCAAATATTATATTAAAAACATGAAGTACCAATACAAAAAGCCCTCAATAGTTCAATCGATTCCCCTTTCATTAAATAATAATTTTGCTCAACCCATGCATCCGTTACATTATTAGCACTTACGCTATTGATCACAAAGGACCTTGATTGACACTAATTCGTTCACTTGGCAATTACTTTGAACTTTGAACTCAATGTACTTGATACTATTTAAGTGGCACTTAATATGATTGCTGGCAGTTTCGTTTTTCTTCACCACTTTACATTCGTTCGTCTGACCCATACATAACTTCCCAAATAAATATTCCGTAAAATTATTCTTACGAGCATTTTAAATTTTACTATCAATTAATTAACGCAGTACCTTCTTCCGAGTGAGCATCTACACTTCTGAAGATTATTCTAATTTGATACAAATACAATGCAAAGAAAACGCAGTATAGACTTATTGGATAAACAATTATAGCACGTAATTGATTTAGAAACGTCGCAGACCGAAAAATAACTTCGGAACATCTTACAAAATGCGAAGAAATACATACAGAAGAAAACAGCAGAATAGTTACATAAGATATAGTTGGACACAGTACCAATACCATAGAAGAAAATATTGTGAGAATATTTGATTCCCAAAGCGAATTTTAACGAGACATATAGAAATTAAGGCCACAATTTTTGGTTGAAGTTCTCAAGGGTCCCGTCCACCGGTCCCTCACCTCGTGCGAAGAGCTCGACATCCTATCGGCTCCCGGGTGTAACACAACGAAACATTTCAACGAACTGTCCTCGTATGGCGTTCCACAATGCCAGTTGTCATACATACAAACGTCCTCCGCGGACTCGTATATCGTATTTATTTCGTGACAATGATCCTCGTTGTCTAGATCCTATCGAAAATTATTTTGTTAGTGAAATTGTGTGCTCTAAACTACCTACTTTGAATTTTGGTTAGTTGTATTAATTCTGGTTTTTAGAGTAGTAGTGTAGTAGTTTTATTGTTCCAACTGGAAAGGCAAAGGTGTCATACTATACAGCCTAATCTTTTATATACACGTATATTTATTTTATATATGAAAAATGATAATATGAAGTAAAATGAAATGAAGTTGATTAATATGAAACATGGTATAAAATGAGATCTGATGAGATGACATGGGATGAAATATAATAATCACAGTAAAATAGTGGTCATTTACTGATACTTTTTGGAGGATCCCGAGAAGTTACGTCCAGCGGCTTTGTTTTATTTTCCCACATTTGTGCACTTTCTCAGATACTAAACAGATATTAACATGTTGACTGTCGTGTACGTCAACGATGTTCTACGTGGAGCACTAAAGTAACTTCAGTGCGTTGCGTAGGGCACCAGTGACCTAAAGTCATTTTTATATTTAGTGACCTACATGGCAGTCAAAGGGTTAAATCATCGTTATTACGCATTTAAACCTGAAGAAACACTAAATAGACAAAATAAAATAAATCACACTTCACTTTTCGCGTTCCCGCCAAAAAGTCCCTGGATTTTAAAAATGAACTACATTTTTGTGTCTATGGTTTACTATGGTCTCTGGTGAATTTTTTTTGACGTTTACACTCTAGTTACGAGACCTTTAAGCCAGTGATAAATAAAATTATTCTATAACTAGACTTTTTGAGTTAGACGTGAAAAGGCGTTTTAAAGAGGTTTTTGGTGATTGTTACCTATTAAATCTGTCAGGTAATGTAGAGAGGTGTGTAGAGATGTTGGGTGTGTTATATTACCTTTTTAGTGTTGTTCGGCGTGACGTGAAGGAGCGGGTCGCGGATGTCGATACCGGAGTCGTGGTAGGAGAGTTTGACGAGGTGGTGTGCGTCGTCGGCGGGCGCGTCCTCGGAGCCGTCGCCGCCCTCCGAGCTGTCGGCGCGTTCACGAGACGCCTCCAGGCTCTCCTCCTTGCACTGGGAGGCGCTCGAAGACACCTACAACAGATAAGATGACGCCGTCACACACTTCAACGCTAACGCACGATTCATTTACGATACAATAGCAAAATATAAAGCTATTAAGGGCCATGTAATTTATATATAGGTGAAACCTTGAGAATTAATTTATCTCATTATTTCAGGTCAAGCTCTGTAGATACATGCATGTCTTTTTATGTCGCTTTCATCGAGTTTCAAATCTCAACCACTTTAAAAATTTACTCATGAATCCGTGTCAAATTCACAGTGGATCCGGTCTATGCTTCCCATAATAATAGTCAATCAACAATGTACGAGCCCAAGCCAAAAACCATGACAATAGTACCTCACTGCCCTGATCGATGGACATTCTGTCTTTGCTCGGAATGGCCCAGTGATGGTCCAGTAAAGATTTTCGTCTCTCCTCGGTCGTTTGTTGCTGTAAATAAATTAGCCGATTAAAAATATTTGAAAATTTCGATGAACTAAAGCCGCTACAAAATTTACAATCAAGTGAAGCTTTTGCGAGTCTATCTACGGACAAACGAATGAAGTAGTTATAACGTTCTATTTGTACCTTTTGTCCAAATAGTGCTATAACACAGACATGGTGACGTCAATCACAAGGTATTAGTATCTCGGAACAGAAATTGAAAAGGCATCATTAAACATCGTTTCCAGATCCTCTTTAAGAAGGTTAAACACCACTTTAACGAGAACTACTCGATTAAATCAATCCCTTAAAGCCTCGTTTGAAAAGAAACCGAAGAAATCTTAGAAGGGAATTCATGTCAGTCCCACAATTTGCTCGGTAAATTAATTCGCCGATAAAGTATCAGTGACCTCTACTTAGCCAGTGATGTGATATCAAGATGAAAGAGAGAAACTAGTAATAAAAGGTTCCTACTTTGAGACACGAGACGACTACGACAACTTTTTATCTGTTTTTGAATAAAATATATCCTATCCAGTGATACGGACTACCGTTGTCCTATTCAGTGAGCCGGATACTAAAAGTAAAGAGAACTGAATGGGTATTTAAATCGAGTACATGCCTGTAAAGCAGTGGGAGTGACGAGTTCCCTCTCGAAGGCCTTGGGGAAGGCGGCACCCCCACGATCCTCAGCGTCGGGCGACACGGGACGCTCCTCCCCTTCAGCACCAGCCGCCTGCAGCTCTGGGAACGTTTCGTCCTGAACAAGAGATAAAGTCGTTTACTGGTGGTAGGACCTCTTGTGGGTCCGCACGGGTAGGTACCACCACCCCGCCTATTTCTGCCGCGAAGCAGTAATGCGTTTCGGTTTGAAGGGCGGGGCAGCCGTTGTAAAAATACTGAGACCTTAGAACTCATGTCTCAAGGTGGGTGGCGGCATTTGCGTTGTAGATATCTATGGGCTCCAGTAACCAATTAACACCAAGTGGGCTGTGAGATCGTCCAACCATCTAAGCAATAAAAAAATTAAAAAAACTATTCGTTGAGGCAGTCGCTTAACCAAATGGAGTTTATAGTATAATTTTATCATCTAAAGTGATATAAAAAAGTTCCCGAAGATTTTTTCAAGTTTTGATATCGATTTAAATATTTTTTGAATGACATAGTTATTTGTTAATTCTGACGGTAGATTGTTATTAAAATTAAATTTATTGGAGAAATTCGTGAACATGTATGTGCTTGGCACATATTTTTATACTTGGTCACAAATAATTGGTGCATTTCCCTGTAGTTTGACCGCAGACCCGATGGACGCCTGTAACCAGTAGTAGCGCAACAGGGAATTTATGAGTAGGTACGTCAATGGCATTTTAAATTTAATCTTACTTTGACTAGTAGGGAATCCTTTCCAGGGGAATGATCTGCTTTATTCATATAATATATTTCAGCTTGCTCAGCCCTGTAATAGAAAAATATCATTGAAAACATTAGGTACTTATAAATGTATAAATTTGTCTCTTTTTAGTGTGATTTTTTTTCGTTTCATCGAGTTTCAATTTATAACGCTGCTAAATAAGTTCTTAGTTCAATAAAATGTTTAAGTACATTATTTCCGCCTCATATCATTTTTCATATAACCGAATATGTATGTATTTAATAATTGTAGATTATTATAAACTCGATACTGGCAATAATGGCGTCGCAAGAAGCCAATTGCCAAACTTAAAAAAAGGGAGGCAATCATATTTGAAACAAAAAAAAGTAAGTATGTGTGTGTATGTGTGTTTGTATGTATATATATTGTTTTGTATCTTGTAATATGTATATATTATTATATGTAATGTTTACTGTACGCACTAAGTTTGTGTTCCTAACTATTCTTTCCTTTTGCGGGCCTACTGGAAGAGATTTCAACATGAAATAAGTAGTGCCCTTGTACTCTGTATTCTTATTATCGTGTTTCTTCTAACAGCTGTGTGTACATAATATATTACATAAATAAATAAAATAAAATAAAAATAAAACATCTCGATTGCCGAGTCTCTCTGAGGATCTCGATAATCGTGAACTCGATTATAATTTTTCGTCTGATTACGATCGATACAAATGTTTGAGACAACAAGGCCCCGTGGTGTACGTACTTGTGCGTGTTGCGGTCCGGTCCGTGCGTGCGCATGTGCGCGATGTCGTAGAATATCGCTGCGTTGACGACGTACTCCATCGGCGCGATGACGCCGTACGACTCGGGCCCGTGCTCCATGACCAGCGTGTCGGACACGTTCGGGTCGAACATCACCGCGTTCGGCGTCACCAGCAGCACGCCCGATACAACGCCCTGTATGTCACGTGTAACATTACGATTATGCTTTTTTTTTCACCTTTTTTCTTTCATTCCTATTACCCTCTACTGTAGGGCTCGAATAAAACTCTGATAAATGAAATACCGTAACTGACAGTCCGCTTGGAGTTTACGGTTAACGAAGCCAAATGTGAGCAAACAGTAATAAGTAATTTGAATAATAATTAAAATGCTCAGAATATTGTTTTTATGTTTGTCGTTTTCACCTATATGTTTATCGATAACAAAACTTAATGCCAAAAGGCTGCTCGTGCGAATTTGTGTCTGTATATGTAACAATCACAAAATAAACAGCTACGAAGTCAGAGTTGCGTAGATATTTCTCTACTTAATTCAGATTTCGAGCAGCAAACGGACCACAGATGAAATTCATAATGCAATTTGTAAATTGAGGTCTGTGTTAATCGTATTAACGACTGTTCTTATTTTTTTGTACACTGGAACATAAGACCTTTCGCGACAAGATAGGTGAAAAAGCTCATTATCCATCTAGTGCAAAGCGGATACACTAGCCTGTAGAGATCACAATGCCACCCTCCCTCCTCCCTAGAGATGAGGTCAAAATCTTAACAGCTGCTGTCTTAACCTTTCAAACCGTTTACGCTCCTCCCGCGTAAATTCATCAATAAATTATATAAATACGACTAAATCTTCACTGAACCCGTAAACTGTCTTTCTACTCAGATAAGCATATCTTTTTATAAAATTAAAGTTACGATAAAAACGGAAGGCGAAATAAAACTAAAGATAATTAAAATTTGTTTTAATGTAGATAAAAATCTGAGGTAAATAAATGTACGATATCATTATAAAATACTAATATCAGTGCGATTATTCGTATCTGCACTTGATGTTTTTCCTTCAAGGAAAGACATTTATTTGAAATATTTAGAGATAACACCTATAAAATTTTATTTCAAACCGCTGTCTACCGTTAAGTACTTTCCACAAAACTCGTTTGAAGAAGACATGTCATAGCGCTCGGGAAACACCGTAGGGGGGGGGGAGTTCATTCCAAAGCTGATTAAAAAAAAACTCTGGAAACGCACTGTGACGATGAACGCACGATGTGTGTGCACGATGAACGCAATGGCTCTAGGTAGTATGGATGAACTCTACTCCAGTGGCTAGAGTAGACAGTAGACGAGTGAGGTACTTGAAATAAGTAGGGCATTACGTGTTCTCAGTGTTACAAAGACAGTTTCTGTTTACTGGTGGTAGGACCTCTTATGAGTCCGCGCGGGTAGGTACCACCGCCCTGCCTATTTCTGCCGTGAAGCAATAATGCGTTTAAGTTTGAAGGGTGGGGCAGCCCGTAACTATACTGAGATTTTAGAACTTATATCTCAAGGTGGGTGGCACATTTACGTTGTATATGTCTATGGGCTCCAGTAACCACTTAACTAAGTTAATCCAACTAAGCAAAAAAAAAATTTTCTCAATATACCTGTCCATCAGTGATGTGTCGCACGTTAATCTTCAGGAACCGTTGTGGGCCGCTGCTGCTCGTAGGAGCTTCCGGAGACACGGGGCGGAGGCTGTCCAAAATCTCTGCAATATATTATAAGGGCCGGTTGTTTAGATTTATCTCTATAGTTTTATAACGACTATTCAGAATTACTTTTATTTTCTTGTTCAACAAGACAAGTCGTCTTAGTAAACGGGTCGTCCATTGAAAATCGGATACAAATAAACAAATCTTTTAAGAAGTCAGCGAAGTGAAGTTATTAAAAGATGAAAATATTAATGATTTAAATATATTATAATTACTAATCATATTCCTACAATATTATATACTATCTTCACGTGGATGACTCAATAAGCTACTAAGACATACAATGGAGAATTGGCAGTAGAGTTATCTGTGTATAAGTGGTAGGTAGTGCGAATTGCAAACCTGTATGGGTAGATTCTACCATCCTTCCTATTCCTGTTTTTGGAGAGAAGCAGTTATTAAAACTAATTTTCTGACAGTTAAAAATCGTTGGACGATAGAATCTTTTACATATATTCTTTGTAAATGCTTGCCTGACTACAACAACGACAAACAACAATAAAAAACATAATTTATTCTTAATATGCATATCCTCTAACGAACGATTTTAAATGAACGGAATTAAAAACTGAAAAGAATTTCTGTTGTTTATTTTTGTCGGTATTTGATTTAATTAATTCAGGAAAAATATATTATCTACGCTATATTATTATTACGTTTTTACAGCAATCATAATAATATATCTCGCTGGAAAATTCATTTGCAATTTAGTACGAAAAACATTTCTTTTTGTTTGTTTGTGACAAAACAGTTGTTCACACAAAAATGTTCGTGTAATGTTTTCAAACCAAAAACCATGGACATAGTATCATTATAGTCTAGCGTACGTGTTAGTTACATATTGCACTCATATGAATAAAATTCTAAAGCCATCAAAACGTACGACATGAATAAAGCGATGTGAATGCATTCATCACAGTTCATTTTAGCAAACGGCCTGTCCACAATAATGCACGAACACTGACTGTGGTTCATTTGTTGACAATATCATAAATAATTCTCAAATATGTTTCTAAGTTTCTTTGATATTATCTAATATTTAAATTAGATCAGTTAATTGCCATAACTAATTATTGACTATTGATAAGATTTTTCCGTGGCGATCTAGACAGATAAGTTTTTTTTTTTCTAAACATTTTGCTGCTTGTTATGTATGCAAGCGGCCTCGTTAAGATTATCTCACGCTATGAACTAATTAAGTACGTACTTTATCGTATTTACGGCGTTTGAATTTTCATTACCTTTTTCCTGTGCAGGTTCACTGGCAGGACCCTGCGTGGACTCCGAAGTGTTGTCTCCACTCTCGGAGGGACCATCCGATTCCTTGTCGCCATCTGGAAACCGAAATACGTTTCGGATTACACGTGCCGTGTCTGATGTTTGCATTGTCGCGTCAGTCCTCTGATCTTCACGACTCGACTAGAACAAACATCGCGATATCAACGTGAACACATAAAAACAAAAAAACAAAACGAGCGCAATTACACACCGTGATACCACCGCTTCAGGAATTCAAAACTGAACATTTTCGCGGAGGATCGACACTACGTTCATTATATCAGCGCGTTTATCACGAGCGATAAAAGGAAATTGTTTTTTCGTTGGGAGTGTTTTTTTTTTTTCAAGATTGACTTTTACACGGTTTGACTGTGATGCAGCGTAATTAACAATATGGAACGATCTCGATTTAGTAGCAAATTAAAATACGTTTAGCGCTCGGCCAGGCGACGGTGACACGACGCAGTGTCGCTTCTGGGCTCGACTGGCGACGAGTGTTGTAACTATTGTTTGCGGTGTAAATAGGAGAAAAATTTGTTCCATGTCTACGTCACGCATGAATGAATAACGCCAAGGCTGTGCGATGCTGTTTCGCGTTCGGACAACACTGACTTGTGACGTCAGCACGTGTGCAACAGCTGGTCGTCATAACCTAATATTTAGTGCTCTTTTATCTCGAGCACCATTAGAATAGTTGCATCAGATTCAAGGTTTATTAACATTTATCAATTAGTGACAGACTATTTAATTACAGTGTTAGACAAACAATAGTCTTAAAAGTCACGCGTTGTTGGGTAAGGTTGTTAATAAATACACCGATAAAATCACATTACATATTCTGAAGAAGTAATTAAATAAAAATTACTTAGGTATAAGGAAAAGATTTAATATTTGAAAATATACAATAATTTACTTAGGTTGGTTGTGACGACGTTACTAACTATAAAGACAGCCATATTATTTTAATAACCCATTAAATTATAATTAATAATGTGAATAATCCTTGTAAATCTATTTATATATAAATATACTCAGAAAAAATAGTTTAGTATGATTTTGTGCTCTATCAACACTTTTTTATTATACATACTACCTAAAATAATTAGGAATAGCCTTTTATTTCATATTAATTTTTTATTTTGGCAATAGTCCGTTTTTTTTTTTTTCAAAATATTAACGACAAAAGAAATAGGCTCACGTAATACGTTAGCATTTTCTTTCGGTTTTCAGAAGTCGTAAATTTGATTACGTAACAGTTTTCTAAATATTTTAATGAATACTACTTCGACTTTGGACGTGGCTAGTTCACGGTTAGCAAACTATTGAAAAACATCGGTACGGATAATAACAATTTATGACTTGCTCGTGTGCTAGTGTACGGTAATGAAAAAATTATAGTGCAACAATATAATATGAAATATAAATAATTTTAAAAGTGAATAAAAACGTTTAAGCCCGTGTTTATTTAAAAATCCTTTTTTTTGGGCGTTTTGAGACCTTTTTTATACACATTTATTTGAATGTCACACAAAAAAAAACGTTTTTCAAATCCTCTATAAAACACCGTTTACGTTTAATATTAAAGTCAATGCAAGAAAGGATCACCGGTCACGGTTTTTTAATCAATTTTACATCTGATGTATTGGATGCATTTTTTTTTTAATACAATGCGATAATTAATGTTGATATGAATGAAGGGTCGTTTAAGTAGAGGCAGATATGATGGGAAATATACTCGTGGTAGTTGGGTGTATCCATGTTATGTTCTACTTAACAGACTTACGGAGTAAATACAGTTGTCATGTCCCTCTGGCCGAATATTTATATTTAAATAAGTCTATATATTTGGCATAGTTATTCACTATACGGAGAGATGCAGAAAAAGTAAAGACTATAGTAACGAAATACATTCTAGCTAGTATAACCCCTTGAAGTTACTGGCAATAGGTAGGACTAAAAAAAAAGTAATAAATTACATTCATACTTGGTGAAAAAAAAACTGTAACGCTTTTAAGTACATTGCGCGCACGAAGAAGTTTCAAATATGACTTGGTTCAATTTTTTTTGTAATACTCCTCTTATTTATCGTTATTTTCGTTCTTGATTTAAACAAATACGCTCGAAATTCAAACACCGTGCGACCACTATTAGAACTACAAATAAATATTTAATATTATAATAAACAGTGAACAAATATCCATAAAACGAACGATTTGTTTGGCTTTACCCCTGGTATTATCGATGTCAATGAACTACGGCGACCTTTCATTATTGGAAAGGTCTACTGTTCGTCTGCCGTATTCAAAAAGCACGGACCCGCATCCATTATAGTATTCAAGCCGCACCTTACATTAGTGTTTCGTATTCAAGTTATCATCATTGTTGATTTGATTAAGTATTAAAATTGAAAATAAATCGGTGGTAATTTATTAACCGCATTCATTTCGCTGTAAATCCTTCGACCGACAATTCGACCGCAGATCAAGAACAAGGAGAATTAGTTGTATTGTATAAATTGTATAACACAACTTTTAAACAATTAAAAATAATAGTATCTAGAAAATAGTAATAGGAAATTTGTAGCATTCGGTATGCATCAAAGGTAACGTATACAGTACGTACTGTATGCGAAGAATACATTTTGGTTTGTGTAAATTGAATATGTGTCACGGCTTCACATATGAGGCCGTCAGCACAAAAGTGACCTAGCCCACAATTTTTCATATACGTGCTTAGATAATGAAATTTATTTAAAACATAATCAATTTTGATGCAAAACCGGCCTATCCTTAGTTTGACCCACAGATAACAGATGGCTTTGTAAAACCTTATTTTTGCGCGTATTGTTTTTACCAACGAAGCAGTGTAAAAGTAAATGCAAACCTCATTATTACCATACTAACTTTGATAAACTTAGCCTGCTTTTGCGCTGACGGACTCATATAGTATTTCGAAGACACCGACTTTAAGTGGGGTACTATAAAACCGAGGTGAATCTCATTCCGGCTCTACCGTAAGCGGGAAGAACTGGACTCGGCGGGCCGAACTGGAGTCGTGCCGTCTATTCTCAGTCGATCTGTGGGCCATCGAGGCCATTTCCCTATCTTCGCAAACTGGGAGAATTATGACTGAGTTGTAGCTAAGACGTTCTCCGTCTGTAGTGCCCTGTACGTGTTTCGGGCACCGCTGTAGACTATGAAAACAAAGCGTTCGTTCTACGCATTATCATTGAGGCGTCTCTAAAAAAGCACTTGTATGACGGAAGACTATTCTAACGATCTTACTGGTGGTAGGACCTCTTGTGAGTCCGCACGGTTAGGTATCACCACCCTGCTTATTTCTGCCGTGAAGCAGTAATGCGTTTCGGTTTGAAGGGTGAGGCAGCCGCTGTATAGTACCTTAGAACTTATTTCTCGAGGTGGGTGGCGGCATTTACGTTCTGGATGTCTATGGGGTCCGGTAACCACTTAACAACAGGTGGGCTGTGAGCTCGTCCACTCATCTATGCAATTAAAAAAAAAGGCACTGGTTCTGTCCTGGTTATAACTAGAGATCAGAATAACAACGGATGGCTTTTCTAATCAGGACTAAGTTACTGGATGCGAATTATTGATAGAGGGGTGCCCCTATCCATTTATAGCAACAAATAAAACTTGATGGAGCAGTAGTCCTTGGGTCTTTTCTGTAATCCGATAAAATAAGCCTGCCGTGGGATTTTGTGATGCAAGGGCATGGAGCCTGCCGCTTGAGGCTGCTCGGTTCTGGATTTAACGAAATAGAAAAAATCCCGATTTCCAAAGTCTGTAGTACCCAACTAGAAAGCTCATTAGCTCACACATAGACATACTCGGATTTATGAGCATTTAATCATCATTAATGAATATTGCATACTAAAGTTAAAGTTGCTCACGATTAAATATATTCAATAAAATCATTAGCATGCATCGATATATAATATATCGATGTTAGCATCAGTCAAACAAAGTTATAATGGCAAAAAAATACCAATAAAATATACCGTAATTCGTTTAGATAAAACGTGATACTTTTGCAACAACATAAAATTGTGTATCCAAATCACGTTAGGATCTGAAGGAAAAACAAAAAGGAATACTACAACCTTTGGCGCATTAGATAATTCACGTTATCGACGACCGTGGGATAATTATAATGGTTGTTGTCAAACAAAAATCAGCTGTGGACTTTTCGTGTTACGATCATTTGTTTACTAAATAAATCAAGATAGTGAAGATGTCGATATTGAATCAAAAAATGCACGTAGCAGATATTAGTTTGACAACGACGATATGAAGAAACAAAAGCAATTAGATGTATCGAAGGTTTTTTTATTTTTATTTTTTGCTTAGATGGGTGGACGAGCTTCACAGCCCATCTGGTGTTAAGTGGTTACTGGAGCCCATAGACATTACGCAAATGCGCCACCCACCTTGAGATAAAAGTTCTAAGGTCTCAAGTATAGTTACAACGGCTGCCCCACCCTTCAAACCGAAACGCATTACTGCTTCACGGCAGAAATAGGCAGGGTGGTGGTACCCACCCGCGCGGACTCACAAATGGTCCTACCACCAGTAAAAGGTATTCGGATCATATGTCATAACCAAATCCACGTTACTCACGTCACGTCACATCACTACGTGTTAACGTTACTGATATACATACAATAGAACGACATTAATAATATTGTATCTTCATAAATGGAAAAGATACTACCGGACGCGAGATGTGGACTCCTATAAAAATATATAATGAAAAAATGATATTGATAGAACATGTATAAGTGACTTATTTTGTTTCAACAATTTAATTCTCAAGGATTCGAACGAACGCTAACTTATAGTACCTAGTGCGTGCTTAAAAAAAATACCGGACGGAATCGTATTTTAAAATTTCGATTCGAAATTCCTAACACGGAACCTGATATGTCGGGACCAAATAATAGGCCACTTCTTGAAACTGCGATTTATTCGATAATATTAGTAAACTTCAATTTCACTTGGCATAAGGGAATAGGTTCAGACGCCAAACCGTTAAGAAAATTTTACTTTAAATGATATTCCTCTTATTCCCGACTATACCCGTGCGCTATAAATATTTTTCTTCAAGGCTTACGAACAGCCTTATATGCTTAGCTGTGGCACGGCTGTCTTGGCCTAAAGGATAAGAAGCCCTGTGTACTCGTACTGAGCGACGCGGTTGTGCCAGTGTTCAAATTCCGCTGACAGATAGTAATTTTTGTAATAAAAAACATACTTAACATATTTATGTTCACGAATAACATCAACGATGAAGGGATAACATTGTGAAATAAAAATCGAAGCTGCAAAAATTACAATTCGCGTGATAACTACACAATTGAGACCTCAAGTTTTGAGAAGGGCGACGGCATTCAAGTCGTGGTGTCTATGGGATCCGGTAGCTTAACACAAGGTGTTGTAAACTTCCTTACCCTTCTAAATAATATATTAATAAATCAGCCTGAAACATTGTTTCCCTTTAAAGACACACAAAAAGGAAATAGAATAGGTTATCGCTGTAGGACGGCGGCTTGCAGCTAATCCTATTTAATTTTTCTTTTAATAAAAACTGATAAGAAAACTGATAAGAAGACACTACGTTGAGAAATTTTAAATCGATTAACATTACAAATTAAGCATGTGCTGACTCAGAATTTAAGAGAGAAAAAAATAGGTTTTGTGCAGATTTGCAAAACCATGTAATTCTTGCTTAAATTAAAATTTAATGATTTCGTGAATTTCGTGAAACCGCAACCTAAAGCGCACTCGACCATTGAAAACGCGCGTCCATTGATCTTTAACGCATACATTACGTGCAGTCCTACAGATTCACCCCCATGAATTCAACATAAGTTGACAACGAGGATAAAATATTCAAATATTTAATACATTTAACATTTCTCCGTTTTCTGACAGCCTATTAAAATATGTTGGATTTAAAATCTTCCGACCAAAAATGGGTCGGTTTAAAAATCTTTCTACAAAAGTGATCGTACCTTTTCTTTTGTCCGGTACGAGTAAAGTCTGTCCGGGAAAGATGAACTGAGTCGCGAGCCTATTCAGCTTGGTCAGTTCAGACGGGGTCGTGTCGAACCTCGCAGCCAGTGACGTCAGCGTATCCCTGTCGCGGACCTATAATAAAAATGGTCATAGGAACATTACAAGCCTGTAAGCGTTTATGGTATAATGAGTGGCGTGCTTTGACATGATTTGAAATAAGTTTGCCATTAGCTCACCAGTTAAATGTTGAAGTAAAAAGTTTGTATACAGTTTTTAAATTTCATAGATATATGAGGTCGTATTAATTTTAGTGTTATCTTAAATGAATAAATAGAATTTAAGGATAATAACGGAAGGAAATAATAATATAAAATTTTAACAAAAAACAAAGCTGACTTCGAAAATTTAAATGAGAAAATCATAAATGTAGTCGAAGTACATTAACATCCATTATTAAGGATAAGTCAAACAGACCAGTAGGGTCAGATCTTGATAAAAAATATATAGAACCATATCAAACGGACCAGCTTTCAAATAAAAATCATCAAAATGGGTTAATCTAGAAAGAAGTTTCACAGGTACTTAACACACAGCAGTCGAATTGAAAATCTCCTCCTTTTGTTGAAGTGAGTAAAAAAAAAGGTCTAAAACTAAAATTAACTCGAGGACTTTTAAATCTGTATCTTTTTTAAAATATAGAATCGAACACTTTTCCAAATTATATTCAGTACGTACTGTTTTTAATTTTCTTCTCTACTTACTGAATCTGGACGATCTTGAATAATAAATACGTTCTGTTAATTTTAACACGCCTTAACAAGACACCATGACCTAATCTCACTGTTTGCGATAACTTAATAAAAAATAGTGTATCCACGAGGAGCCAATATACTAAATAAATAAATGACAATTGATTGCTACCGAGGTCACAGATATATGTATATGCATTTATTAAATCTTTAACAAATTATAACGATTACTAATTAGGAAATTGTTAGACTAATTCTTTGCATATGAGTCGACTATTATCAAAGCCGGCAATCTGACTTTTGGATAATTATTGGTAAATCAGAAAAACGAATTATTGACTTTGTATTCCATTGGCAGTCACAAAACTCTTCGGAACGACATCTTAGATAAATAACAGGTTAACTATTAACCTTTATTTAATGCAGGTTTTGAACCGTATTCTTTGAAGGAGACGATTATATTCAAATCAATCTGTATTGACATATCAATAATTTTTTTTTGTCCAAATGCACAGATTGCCACCTTTGATAATAGACGACTCATATTGTGATTTAAAAAATTATCTATTTTATTGCGTAGAATATTATTTGACATCTTCTAATAATTTTGACTTACCGTGTATGTCATCGTCTTGATTGGAGGTGGGGGCGGTAGCCTCTTAGCTTGGTCGTCTTCATCTATAACAAAAAAAAACCTTTTGCACTAGAAAAATACAACGCCTTAATCAGTTTAGAAAGATATACGACGTGCGATAAAAAGTCAGAACATTGCTACCACATTACCATAAGGATTCATAAAACAGTTTTTCCACGAAAATTTAGATTCACAAATATATTATTATGTATTTTGGAATATGTATTAAACTATAATCGTAATGTTTTAGAGAATCAGAAAGCCAATTTGCAAACATATTATTACTCTCGAGCATCCACTGTTTATTTTTAAGTTTCACCTGCGTCAAAAAGTTCGTATTCTGATTCCTTACGTAACTCAAATGGATTCATCACTGGAGCAATTCATTAAACTGTATTAATATTGATCATAACATCTTCATTCCATAAATTTAAATGAGCTCCGCGAAATCATCCGAGATCGACATTGTCAATAAACATTCAGAAGCATTAATCGAATCAACTGCAAAATACATTAAAAGCCGGATGTTATTTTTTGTCTTGTAGAACAGCTGGTGTTTGTTGTGAAAATGAGTCCCGCCGCAAAATTAGATAATAACAGAATGAGGTAAAATATAAATATTTTTTTATTACTTTTGTGGGTGGACGAGCTTACAGATCACCAGGTGTTAAGTGGTTACTGGAGCCCATAGACATCTACAACGTAAATGCGCCACCCACCTTACATACCCATACCCAATTTACATAGCATAATCTTTTTGTATTCCATCGCCATCGAAACATTGCGTTTTTTTTTTTGTTATATAAATTTAAATGCTACAGAAATAATAAATAAATCCGCCAAGAGTAAAGATCATATTTGTACTCTTTCATAATTTTTAAGTCATGGACATCGACTTATGTCAAGAGTGTTAAGTGTTTGCAGAATGGGCGAACAAACACAAAATTATCATTGTAACAGCGTATTGCACATTATTAAGAATATTATTTTGCATCTACGCGACATTGTATCTTGGCTTTGACTGATGTCTAAGTGCATTTGGGATTATTCAGGGATGACATTGGAATCATTTTCGAGATATTTACTTCTTGAAAACTGAAATTTTACAATGACCTCGTCTCTGTTTCGATGCTGGCAGTGATCATTTCATCAGATGCGCCTAAAAATAATTTCCCATTACTGCTAATAAAAAAAAACTGAGAAAAGAAAATTATTTTTTTATTGGTCTTCAGGAATTTTTTATAATTGTAATAAGTTGATTCTATTGTTTAGACAAGCGAGCTGATTGTCTGATGTTAATGTTTATCAGAGCGCACAATCATGGCAACGTGAATGCCCTAGCCTACAGCATGACGGTTCTATTGGACCGTTCGGATTTACAACATCTATTACCAAAACGCTAATGCATTTTAATATATGATATGAGTTAGCGCATAGAAATGCTTTTGGGTAGTCAAATTTACTAAAATTACTACTGTTACATGTTTTTGCCCCGATGCGGTCGTGCGTTACAGTTTGAAGGGTCTAGACAAATTATACTATTCAATTAAGACTTCGGCCAGAATGTTAGCGTTCACATTGTCATTTATTTGGGGCCAGGTAATCACTTAGCACCGTCGGGTTATCTACCAATCTAGCGCAATAAATAAGTTGTATCAAGAAAATATTAGACATAATAGAATACCAAAGTACTGTAAGTAAGTAAACAAACTCTATGGCACTTTTTATTCAAAAACAGTTGACGACTAGTAAAAAGCAATGTCATTTGAATATATTTATCGTGTTCTTATCTTATCTAATCACCGCCGTTATGGGGTCAAGAGATTTCTTTTATGATATTATAAAAATCACATTTTGTACTTCTTACACTATTTACGGATTCGCTCAATTAAAATTTTAAAGTCCATTAGTATTCATGAAATTCAACAGACCAACTCATACATCTGCTTAATGTTGTAATATGTTTTTTAATGTTATACAAACATCTTGTATAATACAGTAATAAGTAATGTTTACATTTTACTAAGTAAATTATGTTTATTACACGATGAACTCACAAAGACGAATTAAACTCATTGATTCAAGATTTTATTTACGTCATCCGTGCATTTATTCCTGCCGTTTTAAAATACCACTTCAGATAACAGTTTTGTAGAACAACTATTAATTTTAAATAAAAATACTTTACTTCCTTTTTAGTTCATACATTTGACTTAATCGGATACTAAAAAAGAAAATTAGCGTTCATTGTACGAGTATACAACAACTTTAATTGTACTGACCTCTATGCACTGCGTCGAATCTGCCTTCGACTTTAGACCGCAGAGATTCCAAGTCGAAAGGCGGGGAGAATCCATGATCTACTGAACGACTTTTCGACCTGTAACGTCAAAGGGCATGTTATTTATAATTCATAATTATTGTACCTAACATTCAGGTATCGGTGGCGACTCTTAATGGTTGTTGCCGGATGTGTTACCAAGCAAGCATTTTTATTAGCTGGCCAACGACTTATTCGACGCCTTACAAGGATATCTTGAATCATATCAGCCGGTCTTTTATGAGTCTGACAAATAATAATAGCTTTCATTTAGCAGCTCCCTTGTAAACCTTGAAGGGTCGTGACCGCTCGATGGCTTCGAGCGAACGGAGACCAGTACACATTACTGCGATCTTAAAGTCAATATGATTCATCCAATATACTGTTTGTTATTCTTTTTCTTGGTATGTCCTAAATTCTCGAGATTCAGGGTAAGGGTAAAGAATTGTTTACTATCAAGACAAGGTTCTAGATGGAAAGTACCGCGAATAAAACCCTTTCCCGAATGCCGAGCTACGCAGATAACGAGTCTAAAGCTGTAAACATTCTGGGTCAACGGACGTATAATTGTCGTCGCCTAAAGCTAACCCAAATAACTCTCGAAGGACCGATACAAATAGAACGAGCCGAGCTCGAGACTCGTTTATTTACTTAAAATCTAACAAACAAATAGAATATTTAATTAAAATTATTAAATTTATTTCGTTGCTTTTGTAAGCCCCATCTGTAAATTCAGAATTTGGTATCAATCCTGGTAAGTGAGCAGACACACACTAGATTTATTCTCAATTCAACCTACTAGCTTTTCTGCAAGAATGTTTCGAATGCTGAACCAGTTACGAAGGAAGGCCGATAACATGGCTCCACTTAAGGTCAGTACTAAGCTTAGATACTAACGTGAGTCATGTTAATTTATATTTTAATGTCACACCTGACAGTTTCGTTCGAAGTTAAAGAGATTAATTAGGTTTTGTAACAAAATTGGGTCATTGTTTATCACATATACTTTTTTACAATCCAGTTACGAAACGACAGTAATCTTTATTGATATTCAAATGTATTATGTTAAAGATTACGTGTGCGTACGGTATTTGACAGTATCTATTTCAGGACAATACGACAGTATCAGCGGTAAACAAGCCATTGAAAACTAGCGTTGTTGGTGCGTTTGACCTTCGTTACTCTACTACGCGTAACACAAATACCGGGCCAACGTAAGCAGCATTCCAAACTTGATCTTAATACCAAAAAGCTAACTCTAACTAAACATAAGCGTCGCGACAAATTTTACGTAAATGTCTGTTGCCGTCAAAGACAACATTAACTTGATTAGAAAAAATCTACACTTTATATTTTTATTTAATTCGATCAGGAAGTCAAATAAAAAATAATTTATGATCTGAACTGCATGAAGTGAAACTGCTAAATCTATGAACACATCTTAAGTTTATAACAAACGTTGTAAATTTAGTGTGCATATAATAATTTACATATCTCATTGTCCAACCAAAATCTGTTATGTGCACTTTTTGAGATTTTTACTTTTTGACCTTTTCGTATAGTTAACAGCCCTATCTACCGTATAAACTGTTATCTGTCTATAGCTTTAATATTTATCAATAGCTTTCATTTGATATAGTGCTTAAAAATTCACCTTCGTATAAAATTTTATACGAAAATATTTTTACTCGTTAATTCAAAATAGTTTTTGCACATAGCAGATTTTGGTTTGACAGCTGGACGATATATTGTAACGATTGATTGTGTTTTGTTTTTATTATAAAATTTACTGATTGTAAATAATAGCTTAAATAGCAAATTAAAAAAAAAGCCTTACCTCTTGAAGGACTGGTCGATACTCTCGGCGCTTCTCGACAGTTGCTGCGAAGCGCGCCTAGACCTGCATGCAATAGACCAATATCTAGACACAGGCAAACGCATGCAAACATTTATATAAGCCGTGTACACTTAGGATCATCTAATAACAACATATGAGGCTTATAAAATCAAAGGCAGCTAAATCCAAGTCTGTCAAAAAATTCAGGAAAACTACAAAAATCGGCTCTAAACACGGTGTTACGGATCCTCCCGATCCATCAAAGTACTGCTCTTGATAGGGCCAGTGTTAGCAACACTCCCGGTTTGAGAAGCTGAAATAACTTTGTTCGGGTAGCTACAATATTCTTTATTTTAAAGCAGATTTATAAAGAATGAGAATATTACTAATAATCTGAATTTTATATGATAAAACTTCGTTTATATTTGAGTAGTAAAAATAAATTTTTTGAACTGAATTTGCTAGATTTAGCTGCATTTGTTATAACATGAAAATACTAAAGCGTGTCCAAGTAACTAAACAAGATGGCGCTATAGTTAATCCATTTTACTACATAAAGGCGTTTAGCTGCCTTTGATTTTATGTCTCATTTAAAATAACAACACACGTTATGGTGATCGTTATGTATGTACTACATATGTAAGTGCAAACGGCTTATAGTACCGTATACAGTCGTGGATATGAATTCCCCACTTCGGCATCCACTTTAAAATTTCCATTATGGTTGAATTCAATATTCTCATAAAAAAAATTTTAATCGTTCATTGTCACAAATTATTCAATTATAAAGAACATATCATAAACTGAGCAAACAATTCTTAAACCAGCATGAAAATTTACAGTTCGTTGTCACAAGACCAACCATGATAAAATACAGCAAATAAAAATGCTCTACATCGTTTCATGCGATGACGGATTCAAACTAAAACATCTCAAAATCATGCAAAAGCTGAATGAACAATGTATAAACCTTCGAACATTATACGAATAATATCAACATAAATTTTCTCTATGTATTATACTAAAGTAGCTTGTAAGTGTACTCGGGTTCTATTGATTATTTGTCAGGCTTCGAAGTCAATCATTGAGACGAAGCAGACTCGTCGTAGTTGTCTGTGCTGGTAATTTCTTATATAATGCATTGTTCTCTTTTTATAAAGAAAAAAAAAAACCTAATTAAAACCTCGTTTTATAGTCTCAATCCACGTGTACGCTCTAGGGCCGGCTCATTGTTTAGACGATCAGATATAATAACGACAGGTTCTAACTACGGAAGATTGATTTCTGACAGCATCTTGATAAACGAGATTATTGCTATTGTAGCTACTAACGAGTTTGTTTTGGCGAGAGATTTATAAATTATAAACACGTTATTACTGATGATAAGGTCTTGTCATGTGCGAAAAAAAGATTTCAAACAGTAGTATCGCCCATAATTAATTTTTATTTGAGTTTGAAATACACATGTATCGTTCGAGAGTTTCGTGTAAAGCGCATTGCAAACAAATCTCGCTTGGAGGCCGGAACTCGGTCGGGGTTGCAGATAAACCAGTGATCGGTGAACCGCGGCGTATTATTCTTTCACGCGGTTGTCTTTCAGTGTTAGGAGAGGCACAAGGCTCACTATACACTGGTTTCACTGAAGTTGTAATAGTTACCACCTAAGGAGATGACGCCCTTGACACTGGGCCGGTGCCAACTTACAGGTACATTTACTATAGTCTAACGAACTTCTGCATGTTTCCTGAATTTTTTGTTATTATTTTAACTCGCAATGATCGCGTGTTCGTTTTGTTTGTTTTAATCCTATTAATCTAATTGTTTTAACTATAATTTTGCAATTTTGTTCAAGCGCACGCAACAAATTCTTGTGTAAATATATTTTTATTGCTAACGCGCCGTCATTTCGGTTCATTATGAAATTGATTTTCACTTTGAGTATTGTTCAACAAAAGTAAAAATATATTAAAGAGTCCGTAATTATTGCACAAGTCCAAGGAGTTGGGTAATGCACTAAAAGTAATAACGAAATGTTTTTGTGGCAGGTGAATTATTTGACGCAAAACGTTCATCGTAGTCGAGGGGTCAAATTTGGCTATTTGGTTTAAGCGACATTTTTGTAACTATATAAGAGAGCCATTTAAAGTCTAAAATTCGGAAAAAATATCAGAACAAAAAACCTTTTTCAGCTATTTTTTTTTTATTGCTTAGATGGGTGGACGAGCTCACAGCCCACCTGGTGTTAAGTGGTTACTGGAGCCCATAGACATCCACAACGTAAATGCCGCCACCCACCTTGAGATATAAGTTCTAAGGTCTCACGTATAGTTACAACGGCTGCGCCACCCTTCAAATCGAAACGCATTACTGCTTCACGGCAGAAATAGGCAGGGTGGTGGTACCCACCCGCGCGGACTCACAAGAGGTCCTACCACCAGTAAAATAGAGTAAGCTTAATTGAAGTTCAATTAAAAACATCGAATTGTTGATGCTAATATCAAATAAAACGCATCTTCAATTACAAAGATAAATGTCGGGTATTAAGCGAAATGTCGCTTAAACCAAATACCCTTTCACCCTTAGATATAATAAGCGCTAAACGTTAACTATAAATGTAATCGATGTATCCCTTACATCCGAAAGGGTTTATCAGGATCTTACACGATAATAGGTTTTGTCTATCTTTTTTTATTTTATTGCTTAGATGGGTGGACGAACTCACAGCCCACCTGGTGTTAAGTGGTTACTGGAGCCCATAGACATCCACAACGTAAACGGGCCACCCACCTTGAGATAGAAGTTCTATGGTCTCAAGTATAGTTACAATGGCTGCCCCACCCTTCAAACCGAAACGCATTACTGCTTCACGGCAGAAATGGGCAGGGTGGTGGTACCTACCCGTGCGAGCTCACAAGAGTATGGTGTAAGTAAGCGCGGTTTTGGCCAAAACAATCTCTGGCTTTGCCGATTTGGATAAAAAAGGACATTCCCGCTATATAGCCTAAAAAATGTACATACTAAATGTGTAACCCAAATAAATAGTATCGATTTTAAATTCACTATTATACATAAAAGTATACGAAGTGAATAAATAAATACGTGGTAAGTAAATAAGTATTTACAGAGAATGGTTCTTGTTGATCTAGGTTCCATTCAATGTTACGAATTTACGATGCTCAATGTACGAAGCATAAAGTGACGTGCGATTTGAGAATTAACAAACAACAATTAACGCCATTGTTTCATAAAACATTTTTTGGGTATTAGGTAGACGTTCTTAAGTTGTTCTCATATAATACAAAACCATAGTTTTTTATTTATTTATAACGTCTTATACAAGAAAGTATAAAGGCGGACTTAATGCCATAGGCATTCTCTAACAGTCTACCTTAGGGGAGTGCAGAGATGAAGCTTGGTAGGTGTAGTGTGAAGGTGATATTACTTAAACATATATTATGTGTATATATAACATACTTAATACATAGTACTTAAATAAATGCATATACATAAATATATACATATACATATCATAAATATATACATATAAAAACATATATAAACAAATATTATCAATTAGATGACTCTGCTAACTCTCTGAGAAACAGTTCTCGAACCTTCGTCTTAAACGCTTCACGTGTATATGTATTTTTCCAAATATCAAATTCAAACAATTCACCAAATTAAAATTTCGATTATACTTTTAATTTGCCAGCATAATAATTATTGATTCACGGAAACTTTTAGCTATTTCAATTCCGGTCTGTGCTATTTAGTTTTTTTGCTGGTATTATATTTTGGTAAGAAGAGAATATCGTTAATAAAACTTTCAAAAATAACATTTCCAACATTTGCAATTCATAATTTGTTTTCATGTTAAACTTGTGATTTTGTATATCTTCATTTACAGCGTAAACTTGTATTCTTAATAATTTCTAAATCACAATCCACTAAGACAGTTGAATATAAAACTATACTGAGACCTTAGAACTTATATCTCAAGGTGGGTGGCGCATTTACGTCGTAGATGTCTATGGGCTTCAGTAACCACTTAACACCAGGTGGGCTGTGAGTTCGTCCACCAACCAACGAAAAAATAATAATAATAAATAATAAATTAATAAATATAAATAAATATTTACTAACAATCACGCCACGTTAACTGGTCGCCTGGTAAGTTCGTAAAGAACTTGTGTTACAGGTACCAGATAACGGAAATAAATGTAAGATTTTTATTATACACATATGTACATATATATTTAATATACATCCATAACCCTGGAAAAGAAATTTTTTTATTATTATTTTTTATATACAAATATCTTCCCTTGGCGGGATTCGAACCCGCGACCTCCTTGCGGAGTGGCCATGTCACTTACCACTACACCAGACGGCCGTTAAAATAAAATAATAAAAATAATAGCCTAGACGATTTTTAAAACGCATTGATTATTACGAATCAACTATTACAGATAATATTATTAAGCGAGGAAGTGCAAGTCATAATCCGGCGACCCACCCGCACGCGAGGTCATCGTACCGCTGGTCGTAGTGATTGTGAAATGAAGTATGTACGAGTCTGAGCGCACGTAAGATATAAAAAAAAAAACGCGTTTTGCTATTGCGAAACACGTATAAGAAACAATGAAGCTTCACGGGTTTAATGAAAAACTATTAAATCGTTTTCCCATTTGCGTTTCCTTCGCTTCCATTGTTGCTACACGTGTTGCGAAACTACATCATAATAATGTTTTATGATAAAACTGCACTACGTTTGGGGACATTTACGACAAGTTTTGAAGAAACTAAACTATTTTCCATGACAAATATTTCCTATATATATAATGAAATTGTGTGAATATTGTGACCGTGACCATATATTTCGAAAAAAAACCCATTATTGACTTTAAAATGTCATTGTAGGAAGTTTATTTTAAGTCAGACACAAACAGACAAGTTCTGTTCGCTGTGGGTGTGGTGCTTCACGCCTGCGCACTACCTCAAAATAGATTATCGAAAATATGACGTGTACCCCGATGCTGTATGCAAGACTTACTTGCCATGAT